GGGGGGGGGGGGGGGAGGCTGGCTCTGCTCCAAGAGACCTCTACTCGCCCTCCTATCGCCTCCACTCGCCCCCTACTCGCCCTCCTAGCGCCTCGAGAGAGCGTGGGTGTGCTTCTACTCGCCCGGGTCAGTAGCCGCACCGCTCCTCGCTGCTCGGTGGTGAACAGAGTGCCGAAGCATGTCCTCCGCGCTCGCCGAGCCATCGGGCTCAAAGCCGCCGCTCCTCGCCGCCGCCGACCCATTCGGCGAGGCGTTGAAAGACTCGCTGGTTGCACACCTTCGGCAGAAGGGCTACACAGTCGACGACAGCGGGACTAGCGCCTACTATGACGCGGCGGCGGCCGTTGCCAAGCGTGTGCAGGCGGACGACCGTGTGCGCGGCTTGCTCTTCTGTGGCACGGGCATGGGCGTCGGCATGATCGCCAACAAGTTCTCGGGTGTCCGTGCCGCCACCTGCGAAAACGTGCCGGCCGCCCGCTGCAGCCGCGCGATCAACGACGCGAACGTGCTCTGCCTCGGTGGCAAGGTGACGTCGCCCGCCGACGCCAACGACATCGCTGACGCGTGGCTGGCGCAGGAGCACGCCAAGGTGCGATATCACCGCTAGACTTGTGCGCCTAGACATTGTGCGCCGCTCCCCTCACTCGCCACTACTCTCACCGCTGCACCTCTGCCGCCAAAGGCGCCGGGCGACTATGAGTGGTGGTCGGCTGACGTCGAGGCCTTCCTCGGCAGCAAGTGGCCTGCGATACGCAAGGTGGAGGAGGACTCGCGCGAGCACTGAACGCGGTGAAAGACGATATCGCCATACAACCGATTTATACACGATCCTTACACCCCATGCGCGCACATCCAGAGATCCACCCACAGGCACAGGACAGCCATATTTTACGAAACAGCCTTAATTTACGGCGCCTCTACGCACTCTACGTATAGATAGGGCAAGGGCGAAGGGGAAAGGGGCCCGACTTATCGGACGGCTCTAAAATCGATAAAAATGTCTCCGTGTGTGGTGCGGGAGACAGGGACACCGCTTCACACGAGAACCTGCCCGGCGAGCGTGTCGAGGCAATCGCACCCGCCGCACACGAACTCGCCCATGTGGCGCAGCATCACACGCTCGGTCGCCGCCTTGACATCCGCCCAGCAGACGGCGGGGCTGGTGCGGGGGCCGCTAGCGTGGAGCAGCGAGAGGGAGTCCCGCCCGCCTCCGCCGTCGTCGCCGCTGCCCTCGCGCGTCGGCGCGATCCAGCTGCGGCCAGAGCCGCTGACAGAGGCGTTCACCTGAGACGCAATCGGGTCCCGCTCGGTGCGACACGCCTGAGCAGGCTCTGTCTCTGTCTCTGTCTCTGTCTCTGTCTCTGTCTCTGTCTCTGTCTCTCTCTCTCTCGACAAGACTTGGCGCTGGGCTCGACTACAGCACCCACCTAGGCTGGCTCTCAGGGGTCTCGGCTGGGTCTCGGCAGGGTCTCGGCAGGGTCTCGGCAGGGTCTCGGCGGGGTCTCGGCGGGGTCTTGGCTGGGTCTCGGCTGGGCGGTCGCCTCGGAGAGCAGCTCCGCGTTGAGCGTCTCCGCCTCGGCAGAGTACCACGCGACCAGCCGGAAGCAGACGAGCCGGCCCCGCACCCACAGCACCTCGAAGCGAGGGTCGGCACGCACCTGCGCACAGCGGAGAGCGGCTGTGAAGAGCCCCTCCCCCCGCAGCGCACAGCACGACGCGGCAAGCTCCCACCCGCCGCGCGAACGTCGCCGCGGCCTCCTCCGCCGGCGACGCCGCCTCCGGCTCGCTCGGCGGCGGCACCACCTCCCCCTCCGGCGGCACCACCTCCCCCTCCGTCGCCGGCTCGGACCGCTCGCTGTCGCACGCAAAGCACGCCTGCGCGCCGTGTCTCGGACGCGTCTCGGACGCGCCTCGCATGCGCCTCGTGGACGCGGCTTCGCCGTCGCGCGCAGAGCTCGCCTCCGCGTCGGCGTCGTCACTCATGCCTTCGCGGTACTTTCGCACGCCGTCCTCGCAGCCGCCCTCCGCCCCGGCGGCGGAGAGCTGCGCCTCGTGCTGCGCCTCGTGCTGCACCTCGCACCTCCGCAGCTCCTCGAGGAGGCGCACCTGCTCACACCGAGGAGATATGGGGAGATATGGGGAGATATGGGGAGATAGGAGGAGGCCCGCCTACACCGAAGCACCACACTGCTCCGCCGTGAGCGGCGCCTGCCGCAGACCTCCAACTCTCGACAGGAGCCTCGTCTAGCCTCCGCCCGCCAATCAGCACCAGCTCGCTGCTCCGCGCCTCGCTGCTCCGCTCCGCCTCGCCGCCGCCGCCGCTGCCGCTGCCGGGCCGGTGGCGCGTCGCGGTGACCTCGAGGCGCGGACCGCACATCTGCAGCGTGAGCCTGCCGCAATCGTGTCACGCTGAACAGGTGGCGCCACGCCTCTCCTTTGCCGCCAGATCTCGGCCAGATCCCCTTCTCCGCTATCTGGCGCGCCAGTAGCTGCCGCACTCTGCAAAGCGGAGGAAGCCCTTCGCCCGCAGCACAGGCGCCCACGCGGCGCTCGTGCGCAGCGCCTCGAACGCCTATGCTCAAGCGCCGAGCCGTGAAGAGACGCCGCCCGCCCGCTGCCCGACGTCCAGTCCAGGTCTTGGCCGGCAGCGAGAGCGGGGCGGACGAGGAGAAAGCGAGGCTGCGGAGGGCGTCGCGCTGGAGGTGCAGCAGCGCAGCGCCGCCAGGCCTTGCGCCGCGCCACGCGCCTACCCCCTCGGGACCGCCTCGCGTCACCTCGACACGAAACCTCACTGGCCCCTCGTCCACACACTCTCGCGCACTCGCGGCCGCGCCGCCGCCGCCGCCGCCGCCGCCGCCGCCGCCGCCGCCCAGGTCGGCGTCGAGGCTGCCCTCGAGCAGACTTCCGCCCGCAAGAGCGACGAGCAGCTCCGGCGGCACCTAGCGCAGGCGCCAGCCGAGGTGCGGGCGAGGTGCGGGCAAGGTGCGGGCGAGGTGCGGACGAGGGGTACTGGCCAGGGGAGTGGGCGAGGGGAGTGGGCGAGGGGAGCGGGCGAGGGGAGCGGGCGAGGGGAGTGTGTCGGGTGTGCGGCGCTCCTTCCCGTGGGTCGCTCGGAAGATGCGAGGCCCCGCCCCCGCGTAGAGCGCCGCGAGGCCGGCCTCCGCGCCGCGGATCTGCGCCTCGCTCACCAGGTCCGCCTTGTTGAGCACCACGACGTCCGCCAGCCGCAGCTGCGCAGCCACCGCCGCCGGAAGCAGCAGAGGGCCGCCGCTGCCGCCGCCCGCGTCGGCGCCGCTGCTGCGGCCGCTGGTGCGTTGGCCCGTGGCGACGGGGCCCCACGTGGTCGCTGTCCACAGCGTCCGCCGTCCGCCTACATCTCTGCGAATCGCGGCTGACCCGCGGACCTTTCGGTCCGGCCGGCTCCCGCCGGCTGCTCCCGCCGCCTCGGCCGGGCGAGGCGGTCGTATCGGGCGTCGATCGCCCCTCGCCCCACGCGGACTCTTCGAGGGGCACCTCCACCGACGCTGCGCCGGGCGCGCAACCGACGCCGCCTCCGCCCGAAGAGGAGGAGAAGGCAGAGGCGGAGGCGGAGGCCGAGGCGGCGACTCGCCCCGCGTCGGCGACCGTGACGACCGCGTCGAGGCGGACGGAGGCTGCTAGCTCTGGCTGGCGCAGCGTCTCGAGGATAGGCTCGGGGTCGGCCACGCCCGACGTCTCGAGCACAAGCGCGTCGAGCGACCGCCCGCGGTCGGCAAGGAGTTGGGAGAGCGCGTCGAGGAGCGAGCCGTTGATCGTGCAGCAGACGCAGCCGTTTGCGAGCTGGACGGTGCCGCTCGCGACGCTGGAGGAGGTGTCAACGAGCGACGAGTCGATATCGATCGACCCAAACTCGTTGACCAGCACACCCACGCGCAGGCTGCCCGCCGCAGCGCTCTTGAGCAGCTCGTTGAGCAGTGTGGTCTTGCCGCTCCCTGCGGCGGCGGTCGAGGCGCGGTGAGGAGGCGCGGCGGCGCGGCCGGGGTGGGATGGTGGAAGTGAGCCGCGCGCCGAGGAATCCGGTGAGCAGCGTGAGCGGGATGGGCGGCGGCTCGTTGTCGGACATGGGCGAAGAATTCTTAACCGTGGTACTCGAGTAGGTGGACCAGACCGTTTTGAGTAACCGGACAAGCCGCCGGTGGCATATCTTTCCACCCAAGAAGCCCGTTTGGAGGGATGGGCGGCAGAGTGTGCGGGCGGTGAAGTGCTAGTCCTCTCATCAATTTAGAACGAAACGCCCCTCCCTCCCTTCTTCCCTCTATCCCTTTTGCTCTCTAACCTAGACACAGACAGACTGTTCACCAACCAATCCTCTACCCCTCCCTCTCTCCCCATCCCAGACTCCCTCCACGCGTCCGATCTGGCCAGCCTGGCAAACAGGCTCCTGCGGCAAACATACTCGCGCGGGAGCATTTCACTCTAGCTGAGGGGCTCGCTAAACGCTCGCCGAGCTCCATGCTGTGCAACACCACCTCCTCACTAATCGTCAGGGGCGCGGAGAGCGCAGTGCACTGCGGTGAGGCTGCGCAGCGGGGGCTCGCCCCCTGCACCGCGCTCAGCGGCGCAGGGGAGGGCGGTCGGTGGCGGCGGCGGCGAGGCGCGAGGCGGTGGTGCGGGCGGCGGGATGACAGGGGAGGCGGCGGGATTGACAGGGGAGGCGGCGGCCACGAGCGGAGCGGCGCGAGAAGGGGGGGGGGCGGCGGCGAGGCGCCGGTGAGCGAGGCGCCCGCGCCATATCAGAGGGACGCGCCGCTGCGAGATGGAGGGCGGCGGTGACGGAGGCGAGGCGCGAGGCGGCGGCGGCGGCGGCGGCGGCGGCGGCGGCGGCGGCGGCGGCGGCGAGAACGGCGGCACCGAGTCTTGGTGAGCGGCGGCGGGAGGAGGAGCAGCGGCGGCGCTCGCTCGCTGTTGACGGGATTGCTTTTGAGCCTGGGAGCCCATGCCACTGCGACCGGCGTGCCCGGGAACGGAGATCGCGCGCGCGCCGCCACTCACGACGCGCGCGCGATCTTCGCGGAGTCGGGTCCCCAGAGGGAAGCGGTCTTCTCGGCCGACGTCCAGCGGCGCGCAAGGAAGCAGGCGCAGCGGAGGCGGCCTAGCACCGGCTCGGCGCCGGGCGGTTGCGCTGCCCGCGAGCCGCGTCCTGAGCCTCGGCAGCGCGCTGCGCGGCGCGGCGCTCGCGCTGCTTCTGTGCCGAGAGCGGCATGATTCGCCAGCTGAAGCTCCAGACTCCTCGGGTATCACGAGTTCTGGGGGTCACGATTTGCGCAGAAATTGGCGTAAGCGTCTGAAAGCAGTCTTGGGTGGTTTGTCCAAAATACGTCAGCCTCGCACGCCTAGCGCTAGGTCTGACACCCGACCGCCCCCCCCTCCCTAATATTAACCGGTCAGAGTACATTTTGGCCGGCTAATGTTAGGTGGGAGGGGAGGCCAAAAAACGCATATTTTTGTCCACCTACCAGGGTTAATCAGCTGGACCGAATTTTACCAAGTTGGACGCCGTTGGACGTATCCAGTGTTCACTGTCTACGTGTAGCGACGGGCGCTGCGCGATAGCTGCTTTGTGGGTCCCGTGAGCCAGGTCGGCGTCGGGCTGCGCAGCCGGTCGCTAAATGTTCGCTCGCCGTGGTCACAAGCCATCGAGGAAGCCACCATACCAGGGCCACAATCGCGTTGCGGACCAGTCTAAGCACAGCCACAGGCGTGGGGAGGTGGAGCATTCTTGGCCGAGCCGCCTGGGAGCGCGCGCGGCGAGCCAGCGCGCCTCGCCTGGTGGAACGGAGCTGTCGCGGGGTGCAGTCAGTCGTGCAGTGAGTGGGCGGCGCGAGCGTGCGTGTGTGTTGAGTGTCCAGCAGGTCTGCTGTATTGCCTGCTGGCAGGCTGTGCAGATGTGGTTGGATGGCGAGACGCGTGCGCGGCGGCCGCCGCGCGCGGCGTGCCGCCGCGCGCGCCTCGCGCGTTGGAGCTGCGTCGTGCCGGGCGCGGCGCGCTCTGGTAGGGCATGGTGCCTGAAACAGTGTGCAGGCGCCTGGCAAAGGGCGTGGACTGTCAGTGAGGTTCACTGCGGCGCGCGCGTCGCGGCGTGAGTGGTCGTGCGGCTAGCTCTGATGGTGCGAGAGGCGCGTGGCTGGTGCGGGCGGCTGGCGCAGCCATGGGGTGCCAGCACAGGGCAGACGCACATGACACAGGCTTCTGGGCGCTGGGCGTGTGTTTGCGTGCGCGCGGGGACGTACGCGCAGTTTTCACGCGGTGTGCGTGGGGAAGGGCATGAGGGGCGCCGGCCGCGCGTGTATTGGCGTGTGAGAGTGCGTGGTGCCCGAAGGCGACGGGGCCCGAAGGCAGGGAAGTCTCTAAGCGCCTCGCGAGACGAGGTTTGCAAGAAACTTCTGCGCTAGCCGTCTAGGCCGATCGGTCCCCGGCGGCCGTATTTGTGTGTTGCTGCTGCGGCCTCGCAGTAGCCTTGCCGGGCTGCCCCCAGCGAAAGATAACTTCAACAATCACTTCAACACTGGCGATACGGCAACCGCTACACGCGCATAGGTCATACGCAACACGTGGGCAGCCTCCCCCCCCGTGAAAAGTCCATGAGTCGCCGTCAGGCCGTCGGACTGGGCGCCAGTGGTGTGCAGCAGTGATTCCCGCAAGTCGCCTTGGTGCTCGCGATAGCCCTCGCCGCCCCTCACTTCGCCCCCGGGCCAAGCCTCCGGTGCCGTGTCTACCCCACAGCCCCCGATTTGGACGCCTGAGGCTCGGCTGTGTCCGAGTGTGCATGAAAAACGAGCAAACAGGCCTTTTTGGGAAAGCCGACTTTGCCCCTTAAAATACAAGCCTCCCGGAAAAGAAGTTCTTCGGCAAAGAAGAATTATTTGGCCCCGCCGTCGGGCTAGTTGGTTCACGGTCACAGTTCACGATTCTGGCGTGAACTGAGAAAGAAAGAAAAAAACAGACAAGCAAGAGGTTGCCGACTGCACTCCAAGTGCTCCAAGACAACCCAAGGGAGGGATGGGAGCCAAGGGAGGGATGGGAGGACGGCACGCCGCCGCCACACAGGGATTTCACGGGGAGAAGTGTGGTGCTAGCCGTCGCCCACCCTCGGGCGTCTACCACTTCCTATCTCTCTTGGCAGTTTCTCACCAATTCCCGCAGCGACCTTCATGCCACCTCTCGTTCTTCCCACTCTCGTCCTCGTTCTCTCTCCTGCTGTTTCATCCTCTGACTAATCGCTCTCCTCGGCCTCGTTCTGAAACGCCGCTGCCGTCTGCCGATCCCTGGACCTCACCGCCAACCATTTGGTGGACGGCGGCGACGGGCGGCCCCTTGGCTGGGCCCGCGTGCTCGGGTGCGGACGCACCGACCCGCGCGCCGCCGCCGCGGATCGCTGCCCCGTCCCCGCCGATCGCCCCGCGTTCACCCTCGGCGCCGGCGCGTGCGCCGTCCCGTGGGACCTGGCCAAGTGCAGTCGCACGGCTGGCCTCCCCGTCGTGGACGACGGCGCGTTCCTCAACCTCACCCACCGCACACGCTACAGCGTCCTGCCGCCCGTCACGTCGGGCCTGGTCAAGACCAAACAAGCGTTCCGGTTCGGCCGCCTCGAAATCCGCGCCCGGATGCCCCGCGGCGACTGGCTGTGGCCGGCCATCTGGCTGCTCCCGAGCGACGACGCGTACGGCGGCTGGCCGACGAGCGGGGAGATCGACATTGTGGAGAGCAGAGGGAATGGCCGCGACGCCTGCGGGCCGGGCCAGGACAACTGGCATTTCGGCTCCACCCTGCATTTCGCGCCCCAGGGGGGGAAATCGGCGTTCCTGCACACGCACTCGGAGGCGGCGGCGCCCTCGGGCGGGCCTCTCTCCGACGCGTTCCACGTGTACGGCCTGGAGTGGGGCCCCGAAGGTTTGTACACTTACATCGACGACCGGAGCAACATCGTGCTGGCGGTGAATTTCACGAAAGAGTCGTTCTTTGACCGCGGGAGCAAGTGGGAAATGACTTGCTTCAAGCGGGGCGAGGGCGGCCGCTGCGACAGCTGGCTCCCGTCGCTGCCCGAGTGGGACGGCGGCGGCGCCACGAAAGACCCCTGGAACGGCAGCGCGTTGCCCAAGGCCGCGCCGTTCGACCGCGCCTTTTACCTCCAGCTGAACGTGGCGGTGGGGTGCACCGGATACAATGACTGGCTGTTTTTCCCCGACCACCTGTGCAAGGACAAACCGTGGCGCAACGGCGACAAACACACTGCCGAGTCGGACTTTCTGGGCTCGTTTGAGTCCTGGTGGCCGAGCTGGGGCGGGAACGTGACAGATCCGGCGCGGGGCGCCTCGAGGAATGCCAGCATGCAAATTGAGTCGGTTAGGTACTGGGCGCCGTGACGACCGACGAGAGTCGAGAGAGAGACTACATCGCCGAACGCCGCAATGCGCCGTAGCCGACCAATACCGTGCGTGTGCACCAGCCGCACGCGGGTCCTTTATGCAGGGAAGAAGCTGCTCTCCCTGTGCCGATGCCAGATCTCGTACGGCAGCCGGCGAGGTGACTCTCCTCTCGAGGATCACCTCCGCCGGATGCTCTCTCCCTTTGCAGGGTTTTGCCCGGATTAGAAGTCGTGGGGTTTTTTCTTTTTTGCCGCCGTTCTCATCCGGTCACACATACTCGTATGCGGGCCGTCGGCTGGAGAACCAGACCAAGCACTGCAGGAGCCGCTATGGGGGAGGGGAGGCGACGCATGTTGCGGTGGCTGCCACCAAACGCCAGCGGCCTCGGCGGCCGACGGCTGCTGCCTTCGAGCGGCGGCCGCGTCCGACGCCTGTGCAGCAGCTCCGCAGGCAGCAGCAGCGCCGAACTGCCCAGCTGCGCTCCTCCGACGCCCTCGCGGCTGCAGCTCTTTCGGCACGCGCGACACGCAGCGATCCCAATGGCCTGCGCGTTAGAATGCACGATCGAGCTAGCATACTACAAGAAGCGCGCAAGGCCCAGTCAGACGAAGCGCCAAGCAGACGCAAAAT